GGGGTGGCAGAGGCAGACAGCCTTCTGGTTTCCTGACACCGGTCTGGGCTCAGTTTTGGGGTCTATAGCCTCCAGGGAGGGTTGTGGGAGGAGGGCATGAGGCAGGGGATTCATCAGTCTCTGGCAATTACACAGTGTTTTGTTATTCTTAATTAGCTCAGTGGCTCTGCATCAGGGAGATGTCTCCGGGGCTGCCCATGAGGGGAGATGGCAGCTGTTGGGATCACTGCGAAGGGCAGCCCGAAGGGCAGGGTGGGGCCCCTCAGGGGCACCTCCCTAACACCCCCCCCCCGGCTTTGCCAATCCTCCAGGTGCAGAGTGCCCCCCCACCTGTAAGACACACAGGGAAGAGCAAACAGAAAAGAAGTTCTTGGTTGTGGGGGAGGCACCTCCTCAGTGTCCACTGCTACTCAGCTGCTCTAGGGGACCCTGGGTGCATGAGGGCATTCAGTTGCCTGCTGCAGGCCTGCCCAACTGTTGGAACCTACCCACAGCTCACCATCACCATGAAATTATTATGATCAGCATACTTGCTGGCTGGGCACCTGCTACACGCCAGGCACTGACTGAGTACTTACAATGAGTGAGCCCCAGAAACCTCACAAAGCCCTAAGGAGGGCATGTGCCCACTCTACAGACAGGGAAATAGAGGCACAGGTTAGCCAAGGCTACACATGTATGAATGGAGGATTTGGTTGAAGAGTCCAGGTATGTGGAACTCTAAGCACAATGATACTGTGTATATGTGTGTGTACATGTACATATGTGTGTGCATGTGTATATGTGTATATATGTGGGCATATGTGTGCATGCGTTTGGAACAAGAAGGATGGTGTGGGGTGGCTGTGATTGAGATACAAATGAGAAGGCTACTTACATGCTCTGGGCATAGGTGGGGAAGCAGGGAGAACAGAGGGAGTGAGTGGAATGGAAGTTTCTAGAAGAGGAAGCAGTGAGGGCAGTATCCAAAGAGGGAGGGTGGGGCGGGTCAGCGGGTCAGTGGGCCAGCAGGCAGGAGAGGTCCAGCAGCAGGTTAAAGGTTAGAGCTTAGTAAATACAGGCTACCCCGAGGCTCCTGGCTCACTAGACACTCAAGCATTCCCCCCGTCCCCCCTCCCAGGCGGCTGGTCTCCCACCTAAATGGCCCTACTTTGGCCGATTAGGTGAGGTCAGTTTGCCCACCACTCAGACCAGGCCAGGCCAGTTCCAGTCTCCAGGAAGCTCCCTTCCTGGGGCCTGGCTGGGAGTCAAAGCGATAAGAACTACTGCTTGTTTGAACCTCATCCAGCAAGGAAAGTGGTTTTAGTGTGAAGACAGGCGCTGCATAGAGCGCTTAGCAGAGACAGGTGTGATTTGAATTTGCCATGAGCAGCAACTCTTCCAATTCTCATGGCAATCTCATGAGGTGTGACCCACCCCCCCACCTCTGCTGCCTCCATCCCTGTGTGTAGCTTAGAAAACAGCTGGCATGGGGCTGGAGAGATGGTACAGCATTTAAGAGCTTGCACTGCTCTTCCCAAGAATGGGAGTTCTGTTCCTAACACCCACGTTGGGCTGCTCACAACCACCTGTAACTCCAGCTCTGGGGGATCTGACACCCTCTTCTGGCCTCTGCAGGCACCTACACTCATAAATACACATAGCCCCACGCAGATAACACATTCATACCCTGAAAGGAAGGAAGGAAGGGAGGGAGGGAGGGGGGAGGAAGAAGAAGGAAGGAAGGAAGAAAAAGAAAGAAAGAACAAAGAAAGAAAGAAAGAAAGAAAGAAAGAAAGAAAGAAAGAAAGAAAGAAAGAAAGAAAGAAAGAAAGAAAGAAAGAAAAAGAAAGAAAAAAAGAAATTCAATGTGTTTCTTACAGTCCTGGGCCTCCAAGTCCAAGGCCAGGTGCCTGGTAATCCAGGCTAGAGAGGCCTGCTCCTGAATCTCAGGGTCTGTCTTTTCTGGTTCCTCCATGGCAGAGAAGCCAGGGTCTCTGTTTCTTGTTACCCCACTGACCAGGGCTGCATTTGTCAGTCACCTTCCAAGGCCCCATCTTCTTTTAATTTTATTTTATTATTTTTAAGTGTGTGAGTATTTTATGTGTATTGTCTACCTGTGTATAAGTACACCTGGGTTGTACAACAATGTTTGTGGAGTCAGAGAGGGTGTTGAATTCCCCTGGAACTGGGGTTACAAATGGTTGTTAGCCACTGTGTGGGTGCTGGGAATTGAACCCAGGTCCTTTGCAAGAGCAGCCAGTGCTCTTAACCGCTGAGCCATCTCTCCAGCCCCAGGGTCCATCTTCTAATACCATCACCTTGGGGCTTAGGATTTTGGACAGTCAGATTCTTAGGAGATACAAACCTTCAGTCTATTCCATCCATCTGATGATTTTGAGGAAACTGAGGCCCATGGTATTTAAGCATTTGGCTGAAGGACACCAAATAAAGACTAGGGGAGCCTGGGTGTGCTCTGTGACCTTAGACAAGTACCTCCCTCTTTCTGGGCCTCAGCCTCCTCGCCTGTGAAATGAGGGTTTGGACATAGCGACTGCAGAGGAGGCCCCTGGCAGCTCTGACCTTCTGTCACTGCCTCTCTTTCTGGGAGTGGCAGAAGGGGCACCAGCAGCCTGCCCCTCTGCAGGGTACGCACGCCTGACAGCTCCCAGCAAGTCACCTCCGGGAGGACGCAGAGCTGCTGAACAATATAACCTGGGCTGTACACACAGGGCCTCTAGGCAGGCCTAATTAATCGGCCCACATGTTACCTCCCGCCAACCGGCTACCACTGCTGCTCTTGGACTGCTGGCCCTAGTGACTACTTTCCCTCCAGCTCCAGGAAATTCTCTTCTAGCATCTAGCTGACCTTGGATAAAAGAGCTAGAGACTCAGCCCTGTGACCTCCCTACCTGCTGCCACAGTCCTCTGAGGGAGCAGATGGCCTGGTGTTGTAGAACGCTGGTGAATGGGAAGGGAGTGTAGAGGAAGGAAGGAAGAAAGGAAGGAAGGAAGAAAGGGAGGAAGGAAGGAGGGAGGGAAGGAAGAAAGCTAACAGTGCTCCAACTCCATTTGGACCCTTCACTAGGCATCTGGGAGTCAAATCCATCAGAAACCGTTTCTGCACTTGAGGACATGACATTTAACAGAGTGAGAACAGAGACAGGCGACAGCCTCGCTATGCTATAAGCTCAAGACTATGAGAGCCCAGGGGGAGAAACCTACCCCAGGTGTGGTGGTTCGGGGAGGCTTCCTGGAGGAGGCAAGGGGGATTCTTGAGGGCAGGATCTAGCTCTTCCAACTCTCGTTCCACAAGATGACCCAGCGGGAAAGGTCTTACTATTCCTTTTATAGATGAAGTTCGGCAAGACTGACTACTGCAAGGACAACTGAGCTCTGACCCAGGCATCTGACTCTATCCCACTGCTTCTGGATCTCTCTCCAGGAACCTCAGTGAGTGGTCCTTGGGCTCCCTGACGCATAGGACTCTTGCTGTCAAGGGGGCTGTTGCAGGCCGCTCAAGATGCACCGTTGGGCCGGAAGGGCTGGAAGGCATTTCCTTTAGGAAGAGTGAAACATGAACCAGGTCTTGCTGTGCACCCCACTCTATCAGTCTTCAGATCCAGATAGGCCTGCAGGCTTCTGAGCCCTCCCAGGCAGAGGCCACAGCTGTGAGGCAGAGGAAAGCCAGGCAGTAGTGACTGGGTGCCTTGGATGCCCTCTGCTGGGACTACTTTAGGCACAGACTGACCCAAGGTCTAGGATCTTATGAGTAGAATACTTTGTATTTTGGGTTTTTGAGACAGAGTCTTACTCTGTACACCAGAATGGCTTGGAACTTGCCAAGAATCCTCCTGGCTCTCCTCCAGTGCTGGGATTACAGGTGTGAGTCACCATACCTGGCTCTCAAATTAGAATAGGTATGGTGCTGTAGAAGTGCAGCCCAGAGGCCTGGTGTGGTGGCACACGCCCTTAATCCCAGCACTCAGGAGGCAGAGGCAGGCGGATCTCTGTGAGTTCAAGGCCAGCCTGGTCTACATAGTGAGTTCCAGGACAGCTGGGGCTACAGGGAGACCCTGTCTCAAAAAGACCCCCCCCCCCCCAAAAAAAAAGTGCATCCTAGACAAAGGTCGGGTCAGAGTCAGGAGCAGCACCTGTTCTGGCAGGTGGAAGTATCACATTTCATTTCACAGATAAGAATAGAGAGGACTGCCTGGCGGGGGGTGGGGGGGGGTGTCACACAGCTAGCATGAGCATGCCAGAGAGCACGGTACCTCAGGCTGCACTGTGTCTGAGACTGCCTGGGAGCGGGACAGGGGTTAGCGAGGGTGCTGGGTGGGTTAAAAAGATGCTAAGGGACCATATTTATTCTGCTCCATCCCAGAAAAGCTCACAGCCTTTACTCTCTCCTTCCCCAACCCTGGAGAATCCCCTTCCTATTAGTCATTTATTTTTTTTAATTGCTTTTGGGGGGGTGTCTTTATTTATTTATTTATTTTGGTAATTTTGAAGCAGGGTCTCCCTGTAAGCCCCAGCTGTCCTGGAACTCACTATGTAGACCAGGCTGGCCTTGAACTCACAGAGATCTGCTTGCCTCTGCCTCCCAAGTGCTGGGACTACAGGCCCGGCTATTTATTTATTTATTTTGAGACAGGATCTCCCTGCAGCCCCAGCTGGCCTGGAACTCACAGAAATCCACCAGTCTTTGCCTCCTCCGAGTTTTCAATGAGGTCCTTCAAGGCTCTAGTCCTCGGTCTCTCCATCTGTAAAATGGTCTCCAAGTGCCTTTCAGCAAGGATGTCTAGAAGTCTAGGGATCCTGGGGAAGAGCCTTGCATGTGCTGGGGCTCAGCAGAGCCCAGCCCGGCGGGGAGGGGCGGGGCGAGGTCGCGGTTGGGGGCGTGTCGATGGACGTGGCCTGGTTGGTCCCCGCCCCCCTGACGTCGTGCTGGGCGGGCGGAGGGAGGAGCTCGTCGGGCGCGCGCAGCCCGGCTGGGCCGAAAGTTTTTCTGTGGAGTTTTGGAGGCGGCTGCGGCGGCAGCGGCTGAGCGGGCCATGGACGCGCTCAAGTCGGCCGGGCGGGCGCTGATCCGGAGCCCCAGCCTGGCCAAACAGAGCTGGGCGGGCGGCGGCCGGCACCGCAGTGAGTGTGCGCACCTCGGGGTCGGGCCTCGGGAGTTCGGGGCCAACTTGGAAAGGCGGGCCTGCCCTGCCCTGCCCTGTGCTGCGCCCCAGGCCCGGTCCCGTGGGGTCGGGTCGCCCGGGGTCACGTCGTGCCCGCACCTAAGGCGGGCGGTGGGGAGCAGGGCGAGTTCGGGGTGCAGGTGGGGAGCAGAGACCTCGGTGACCCCCGCCCTGCGCACCCGCCGCCCTGGGTTGGGGACAAGCTAGGCATCGGCGCCCGGGGTAGAGAGGGGCTGGCCAGCGCTGGGACGTTGCTCCGGACCCCTGCGTCCCGGGTCGCTTGCTCCTCCACCTGCACCCCCAGCACAACCTCCAGGGATCATCTTTTGACCCTGGGTCTCAGGTGTGTAAGCCCCCTCTCGCTTTGATCAGTGAGCCCAGGCTGGGTGTCAGGAGATCCCTGCCCTGGGCCATCTTGGATCCCTGCGTCCTCCCGGCCTGCCAGGTCCAGGTGGCAAGGCTGGCGTCCAGGCTATTTTTGAACCCTGTTTTCTCTCTCACCTTCCTTTGGGGGCTACTGAGTCTCTGGGCGCCCAGGCAAACAGGTAGACGCTCTGCCACTTCTCCCCTGGGTGTCTGGGAGGGTTGAGAGGAGCCTTCCCCAAGTCTCGAGTTACTCTCTGGAAGCCCCGTCTCCTGGCACCCTCGTCACCTGGCACCCTCCCCTGAGGCCTGAGAAACCTAGCCCAGGTCCCTCCCTTTTCGGGAATTTTTCACCTGGGATTACCTAGGCCTTTCGGGCTGAAGCGCACACCCTCACCTGCCACCCACCTGGGGCCTCTCTCTCACCAGGAAACAATACCCTCTCCCTCCACCCCCACCCCCCAGCCTCTTGCCAGCTCCTTGCCCCGCTCTGCCTGGGGAGCCTGAGTTCCCTGGTCCCCGGAGCGCCAGCGTGTCTGGGCCTAGGGAACCCGCCCTGCCCCTCCTCTCTCCAGCTGTGGGCGCCTCCTAGCCCTGACTGGCTGGCATTGGTGCCTGCTGGGGGGTAGGGTCAAGGGGCCCCTTGGGCCAGCCTTGCTGTTGTACCATCTCCCACACGTACTCCCAAAATAGTGCCTTAAAAAGCCGTGGGATGTGACCAGAACTTCTGAGAATGACCTTCCTATCCAGTGGAGGAAAAACCCTGTGGTTTTCTCCTGGGATAAGGGAATAGGGTGGGTGGAGTGGAAAAGGTCCCAAGGTTGGGGGGACAGGACCAGAAAGCACCTCTGAATCTGGGAGAGGCGGGAGAAGGGAGGTATTTTGGATGGTGAGAAGTGTCTCTTGTCTGTTTCAATCTAGGGCAAGTCAGTTTTTCTTAGTGATCCTCTATCTCCTGGCCTGCAAAATGGGAATCAAAAATTCTTGCAGGGTTGGGGATGTGGCTTGGTAGAGTACTTGCCTAGCATGCAGGAAGCCCTTGGTACTTGCCCTTGGTTTGATCCTCGGAGCACTTCATAAACCTGGTGGGGTGGCACAGGCCTGTAACACCGCCCCCCCCCAACCCCACCCGCACTGGTGAGGTGGAAACCTGAGAATCAGAAGTTCAGGGTCATCATCTGGCAAATAGTGGGTTGGCCTGGTATTCTAGTGTTGATAATGTGCCTTCCTAATTGGTGGGTTCCTTCTCCCTATTCCCAGTGTGCTTTCTTACCTTGGTGAGGTAGGGGTGGAGGCTTAGCCTGTCTACACCCTAGAGGAAAACAGGCTCCTCTCCCTCTCCCCCCAGGTCCTCTCAAGGCTCCTTGGTCTTCTGTGTGCAGAGTGAGCCTCCAGGAAGCCTGGCCTGACTGTGGTTGTATTAGTTTCATCACCTATAACTTACAAAAAGTATTACCTGCCTGGGCCTTTTCTGTAGGAGTTAATCAGGGTGTTTTTCCTGCTTACCTGTTTTACCTGGTTTTCAGTGGTGGAGTCTGCCAACTCATTGGTGACAAACTTTGGTTCTAGATCTGCCGAAGTATTTTAGAGATAAAGGAACTGTGAAGTGGAGTCTCTGTCTCTGGGTACTGAGTTCGCCTGAGGCAGAGCCCCCAGTCCCCACCCTGGAGTGCTAGCCTTATACTCTGTGGGCCTGTAGCCATGGGAGGAGCTGGAGCTGGCTGCCCCTGAGGACCACTGTGGCCAGAGGTTATAGCAGAAGGCCATGGGTGTGTCCGGGGTGAGAAGTTGAGATCTAGCCAAGCTTTGGGCCTTCTAGATCAGAGGCCAGAGCTCTTGATGATAAAAGGCATTTACCTCCAAACTTTAAGAGTTTGATCCCTGGGGTCCCTATTGGAAGGAGAGAACTGACTCCAGTAGGTTGCCCTCTGACCTTTGCGTGTGGGCTGTGGCATGCTCTCCTGTTCCCCCATGAACACACTAAATAAATGTTTAAATCGGAAACCAAGCTGACCCCCCTGCCACCTGCAGTGACCTGCGCCTCCTCTCTCCACTGAGATCAACATTGTCATGGTTTTATTTGTGGAGGAACTGAAGGCTAGAGAGGGGCACATACAAGACCTTGGGCATTCTTTCTTTCCATTATCCCGAGTTGGAAAGAGGGCCCTCTCCCTTTCCCAATGCTGGTTTTCTCTATTTCTTTGGGAATCATAAATATCTCTGTTCTCTATCCAAGGATTTTGTCTTTCTTCCAGCGGCCTGGACCAGTGTCTTACCCTGAGCCCTCAGTACCCTTCTTTCTAAAGGTCTTGGGGTCACCTTGACCCTCAGCCTCCTTTATGAATCTGCCAAGCTGTCAGAGAACCCAAAGAGAAAGAAAAGAGAAATTTGAGATACTGGTTCCAGTTAAACTAATTCCAAGAGGTGGGGGAGCAAAGGGTCTATTCATATTCACCTATGAGAATGTAAATACGTGTGTCAGGCACTGTGAGTCAGTGTCTCTTCTGACAGTGCTCATGTCGTCTGGAGGAAGGGACAGAAGAAGGCTGCAGATAAGTGGTAGGGCTGGTGTGGAATGCTAGGAATAAAAATAAAATAGCCGAGGGATAGCTTTTTCAGATCGGGTAGGGTCTTCAGATCCTCTAGAAGTAGTGAATGAGGTCAGGGTTCAAGTGCAAGTTATTTGGGAAGAGATCCCAGGAATTACTGTCTGGACAGATGAGAAGGGAAGGGGGCCCCCAGAATGGACAGTGAGGGGACTCCTGGGCCTTAGTCAGGCGGTCACTCTGGGAGCCAGGCTAGAATGAGCTCTTCAGTTGTGTTGCCTTCAAGTGGAAATGACCATAATTGTGGCTGGAGGATGCTGTGGATGGAGACCTTGGTCCCTCAGTTTGCAGGGCATGGATACTTCACTGGGTGCCTTTCAGCATCAGAGCTGCAGGCAGTGTCAGGCACTGGTGGTCAGGTGACAGTGAGTCAATGGTCTGCCTGGAGGGCATCAGGGTCTCTGAGAAGGTGACTTGGAAGAGAGTAAGTCCAGGGAGGGAGAAGAATCTGGAAAGAGATTTTGGCCAGTGGGACTATCAAGTCTGAGGGACCCTTAACTAGAGACTGGGACTCTGCCCATGGGTCTGGTGGCTCACAGGGATAGGATGTTTGATGAGTTGGGTCATTGTGCTGGATAGCTTTAGTGTCAACTTGACACACCTGGGTTGAGGGAGCCACAATTGGGGAATTTCCTCTATTGGACTGGCCTGTGGCCATGTGTGAGGGGCATCTTCTTGATGAGTGATGTGGGAGGGCCCAGCCCACTGTGGGTGGGTGCCCCCCTTGGGCAGGTGGGCCTGTGTTGCATAAGAAAGCAGGCTGAGCAGGGCCAGGGGAGCAAGCCAGTAAGCAGTGTTCCTCCATGGCCTGTGCTCCAGCTCCTGCCTCCAGGTTCCTGCCCTGAGTTCCTACCTTGGACTCCCAGGTGAACTGTGACCCAGGATACGTAAGCTAAATAAACCCTTTCCTCCCTAAGTTGGTAGTGGTCAGAGTATTTTGTCACAGCAATGAAGAACAAACTAAGACAGCCACCTACTGCTGACAGGGGTCAGATGCTCCCTTTGGGTGGCATGGTATGTGTGACTCCTGCCTTGCAGGAGGAGGAGGAAGGTACTTGGTGGGCTACAGGAAGGGATGTGGGGGTGGGAGGGGGGTGGAACTTGAGTTCCAGGGATGTCACTTATAACCTGTGGTCACATTCCTCATCTCTTCGAAGTGCCATGTGACAACTGTGACTTCTTATAAAATGTAGTAAATGGGGGCTGGAGTGATGGCTTAGCTGTTAAGAACACTGGTTCTTGAAGAAGACCCGGGTTCGAATCCCAGCACCCACATAGCAGCTAACAACTGTCCATAACTCCAGTCCTAGGGGATCCGACAGTCTCTTCTGACCTCAGCGGGCATTGCACAACACAGATGCACTTACCTACATGCAGGCAATACACGTATACACATAAAATAAAAATAATAAAAAATAAAATGTAGTAAGCACCCATTTGCACATTAAAATTCTTTGCACTTGATGGTTTGCAGTGACAGTGGCTGGTACTTAAATGTTCCTTGCTGTGCCAGGCAGGGTTCTGTGTGAGCTTATCTGTTCTCGTGACAACTCCATTTAATAAGTACTATTGTCCCTGTTTCAGATTGAGGAAACTGAGGCACAGGGAGGATGAGGGACTGAAACCACACCCCCACCCCAGAGCCTTCATTTTTCTCTTTCAGTATACATAGACATCAGAAAACTTCTGAAATTGGCCTCACACTTTGCACATCCAGGAATTTCTGCCATAAGGCTTCTGAAAGGCCCCCTGCATTTGTCAAAGGTGACTGTACTTATGGCAGAACAGAGCTCGGGTCCCCTCCTAATTTGTCCCTTTGACTTCCAGGCTGTTGCCCACCATATGGGGAGCCAGGCTAAGACCCTGCCTAGGGATTGGTGACAGCTCTTATGTCTAGACACCACCTAGCCAGGTCTTCCAGGCAGCAGGAGGAGCCCAAGACGCCTACCCTGCCTGAAATGCCTGGGTAGAGGCCTTAACAAGGAAAGAGCACATGGTCCCAGCTAAAGCTAGACTGGACATGTGCTGTCCCCAGCTAACTCCCACAGCAGGTCATCTGTAAAATTGCAAAGTGAAAATAGTATAGTCATTACCCACCACAGGGCTGAAAATAACTGGGACTGGAATAAGACTTTGGGCACAGGCCTGTATTTGCCCAGGGGCCTCTGGGAGCTCTGCTTGAGCCCCTGGGCTCCTGTGGGGGAAATAGCACACAGTCTCAATCTGTGGGCTGAAAACAGCCTAGGTTCTGTCCTGTTTGTGTCTGGTGGTAAGAGACCACACTGGTGTGTCTGCCCCAGTGCTGTTTTGTCAGAGAAGTTGTGGGCGCCACCTCAGTTAGGAGCAAGTCACGTGTCCAGAAGCATAGGGGAAGAGGCTGGCTTGGGAGGACAGGAGCAGGCAGGGTTGATGGGAGAAGCAGGGGAAGACTGGACAGCACTTAGGGCAGGATGCCTAGTCCTGGAGAGCAGACAGAAATGGCAGGTCCCTTGAGGGGAAGGCACATCGGGGCAGCTTCTGGGCAGTGGAGGAAGAGGTAGGTCCATGCTCAAGAAAGGCAGCAGCAACCTCAGCCAGGAGGGATGAAGGTCCAGGTCCATGGACCTGGCCCTCAGCACACAGCCCAGTGCGGCCTACTTTATCACCTTATCATCTCATTTTATTATCTTACCCCTGTGATCCCTGGCTGCAGCTTTCTCTATTTATTTACATTTGAAGACTTTTTTTTTTTTTTTTTTTTTTTTTTTTTTTTTTTTTTATAGGGAAGCCCCAACTGGCCTGGAACTCACTATGTAGACCAGGCTGGCCTGGAACTGAAAGAGATCCCCCTGCTTGAGTGCTGGGGCTAAAAGGGTGCGCCACCACACCCGGCTCTGAAGACTTATTTTTGATTCTTTTAATTATATGTCTGTGTGTCTGTGTGGGGGGTATGTGTGTATGAGTACAGGCTCCGAGGAAGCCAGAGGTGTCAGATCCCCTGGATCTCGAGTTACAGGCAGTTGTGAGCCACCCAATGTGGATGCTGGGAATGGAACTCAGGTCCTCTGTAGGAGCTGTATACATTCTTAATTGCTGAGCCATCGCTCCAGCACCCGTTTTGTTTTTTTCAATTCTTCTTTTTCTTTTTCTTTTTTTTTTTTTTGAGACACAGTCTCATTTAATCCAGGCTGGTCTTTAACTGGCTGTGTAGTCAAGGATGTCCTTGAACTTGTGGTCCTCCTCCCTCTACCTCCCAAGTGCTAGGATTATAGGCATGTACCACCTTCCTTGGTTTATGTGATGCTGGAGATCCAACTCAGCATTCATGCATGCCAGGCAAGCCTCTACCAATTGAGCAACATCTAGCCCCATTTTATCGATGAGGAAACTGCTTAGCTCTCTCAGGGTCACTTATAGTATTAAGCTGGGATACTATGACTATTGGAAATAAAATCTGGGGTCCGAGGACCCCACCAATACTGCACAAAGAACATGGGGACAAAGTCCAAGTAAGACAGCAAGGCAGCTTCTACTTTTGCAAAAGGGTATGTTTGTGGCCTTGGGTAGGGTAGCAAGCACACCAAGCAGGAAATTTGATGGGTTTTATCCTAACCTTAGAGTACTGTGTCTGTACCCCATTGGCTGGGCTCTGACCTCACAGTCCTGCAAAGGCAATGAAGGAAAGGAAGGGTCACTACTTGGAGAATGCTGCAAGATGGGGAGATGACAGATTAGCGTAACAAAGGTTACACTGGGGTGGTCATTCTTTTGCTGGAAAATATTTGGATTTCTTGTAGTTATTTCCCTCAAAGACTAACACCCTTGCTCTTATAAACCAGGCTAGACTGCTTTGAATTAGGCTTTCTGGAAGAGGCTGGGAGTGTGGGGTTTTGATCAAGTGGAGGGAAGACTTTTTCTTGGTATTTTTTTATTTGGTTGGCTGGTTGTTTTTTGAGACAGGGTCCCACTGTGTAGCCCTGGCTGGCCTGGAACTTACTTTGTAGACCAGACTGGCCTTGAATTCAAGAGAACCACCTCCTGAGTGCTGGGATTAAAGGTGTGCAACACCAGGCCTGCTGCTGGTTTGTTTATGTTGCAAGATTGCTAGGTGTAGTGTATGCCCTCCTCTAGTTCAAAATCTTCCTCCCTCTTTCTGTAGGGGGTATGTGTGTCTGCACAGCACCACCATACCAGGCTTGACTAGCATTCTGGGTAGAAAGAACTAACTGAATAGATGCTCACAAGTTGGAAAGTAGGTGTTGCCTCAGGAAGTTCTGCGTGGTGGAATCGGGTATGTGTACGTGCATGCTTGTGCACGTACAGGAGATGGAAGAGAAGAGGAGGAACTTTCACACGCTCCAACAGTTACTGTAGAGATCTCTGACTGGCTGTGTGACCTTGCATAGGTTTAATCCCTCTCTGGGCCTCAGTTGCAAGATCTGTTAAGTAAAGGGTAAGGCAGATAGATGGTCTTTGAGGCTGGGGATGGCCGCCAGTCTAGAAGGGTCAGGCAAAGGAAGGAGGAATGCAGAAAAATGTCAGACATTTCAGAGTTCAAGGAGGACAAAGAATGTTTTGACAACAAAGAGATCACCAGTGACCTTGGCAAGCCTGGACCCTTTGGAATGGAGGCAGAGGAAGTGGCTTTGGAAAGGGGCCAAGATAGGGCTGAGCCAGAGGAAATGGGAGCTGTGGACATGCAGATAGAGGGAGGATGTTGGCTTTGTGGATGGGGTTGCATTGGGCTTTAGGGTCATTTCAATGGGGGCCCAGCCTCATGTTGGGATGAGGCCTGGAGAGCAGTATGTGGACCAGAGCTGGGATTGAGAATGCCTAGGTCCTTCCTAGACTCAGAAAACATTGAATGTCAACTGTGTGCCAGGTTCTAGATGCCAGTCAGCTTACCTGAATCTGCAGAGAGGGGTAATGCCTGGGGGTTCCTGTCTGACATCCTTGCCCCCAGCACTCCTCTGTCTCTCTGTCCGTCCGTCCGCCCGTCCATCTGTCTGTCTGCCTCTCTCTCTCTCTCTCTCTCTCTCTCTCTGTCTCTCTCTGTCTGTGTCTCTCTCTCTCTCTCTCTCTGTCTCTCTCTCTCTCTCTCTCTCTCTCTCTCTCTCTCCCACACACACACACACACACACACACACACACACACACATACCCACACACTAGGGGCAGTGGCTTGCTCAATACAAATGCAGAGCAGTATGAGTAAGGTATATACAGGCTCCTCTTGACTATAGAGCAAGGACAGAGCTCCTGGAACCCAAGGCCTTGGGACAGGGCCATGGAGGGAATTCTCATGGGGTAGGGGACACGATGATGTTCCTTGAGCCCAGGATCCCACTCCTGACAGTGCAGGAACCAGGTCCTAAATCTCTATCAGGGATTTTCCAGCACAGCTGGCAAGGAGGGCACAGGATTTCTCCCAGCACTTCTAGGGAATGTGGGGAACCCGGCTGGCCACTTCTCAGGATCTCTTTCTGTCTTTAACAGAATTACCTGTGAGGCTGAAGAGCGGTCTACAGAATAGGTACAGTCACATGAGTACGCACTATGGGTGCAGCATCTGTTGGGGACAGGACAGGAGAGGCCCTAACAGGGCTGTGCACTCACACCGTGACCTCCCTCTCTCAGGGACCTTCCTTCATTTCCTGCTGTGTGATGGGTGCCCTTTGCCTCAGCTCCATGGATTAGCCTCAGGGATGACCAAACCTTCCCTTGGGGACTCCACCCCACCCCCTCGATGCCCTGGAGCTCCTCAGTACCCTCTCCTATGCAGAAGACTGAGTGGGGTCCTTTCCATTTTTCTTGTGGTGTGTCTCCCCACCCAGGCTCACCCCTGTTTTTTTCCCTTCCCATGTGCCTGCTGCAGCCTAGAGTAGCTGGTGACATCATTTAACCCCCACCCTATTCCCTCTCTTTGGGCAGTGATCTCTTTGCTAGTTCTCAGCCCTCCAGTTTCTGCATCACAGGGGGAATAAAGAAGCCTGGGCTAGGACTATGTCAGCCAGCAGGTGACTCTGCCTGTATTTACCATGTATGAGTGTTGGCCCATGTCTTCACCCCCTCTGACCCCATTTCCTGATCTGCAATGTGGGATAATCCCCTTCTCTCAGACTCATACTAAAGACTCGTTAAGAAAGTGGGACTGTTTGTCCTCAGCAAGTGTTAACATTGATACTGAGTTTGGGTTTAGGACTACAGTATAGCCAGAGTCTTGGCTCTAGACTGACTCTAAAACTTGGTTATATAAGTTGACCTCCTGGGCTTTGGAGTAGCTATCTGCTCTGAGTGCATGCGTGAGTGTGTGCATGTATGACAAAGCTTCCCTCAGTGCTCCTGAGGGTGAATGGAGAGACTGTATGTAAAGCTTGTCAGGTGCTGGGTAGGCTCTGAAAACTGTGAGCTCTCAAATGTAACAGTTAAAATAATGATGAGGAAGGCAGGTGTGGTGGTGCATGCCTTTAATCTTGGACCTTGGGAGGTGGAGGCAGGTGGATCTCTGTAAGATACAGGAGAGTTTGGTCTACACAGTGAATTCAAGGCCAGCTGGGGCTACAGGAGACCCTGTCTCAAAAAGACCAAAATAATAGCAATTATAGTAATAAAATAGCAAATGGGGGCATCCCAGGGCCCCTTACTAGGCATTCTAGGAGGCGGGCTGGTGAGAGCTGGGCCTGCCCTGCAGTCTGAGAACTGCCCTGCCCTGTCCTGTCCTAGAGCTGCCTGAGAACTGGACTGACACTCGGGAGACACTGCTAGAGGGCATGGTCTTCAGCCTCAAGTACCTAGGCATGACGCTGGTGGAGAGACCCAAGGGCGAGGAGCTGTCTGCTGCCGCTGTGAAGAGGATTGTGGCCACAGTGAGTGCCCAGACAGGAGAATGGGAGCCTGGGCCGGGCCAGCCTCCTTCTTGTACCTTGGTCCCCAGCTTGGTACCCATATGGCATGTGCTGAGCCTGGCCCAGCCGAGTCTCCGTGTCTAGCTCAGGGGTGTTGGTGGAGATTATCATTGGACTTGAGGGTCAGGGTCAGTATCCACCTTCCAGGCCATCCTGGCCATGGCTGCTTCCAGCCTTGCATCCCCCAGGTCAGGCTCCTAGCCTAAGCACCAGTGACTCAGTAGCTCCAGGGAGGGAGAGGAAGTTGTTCTCTATGTTCTCACTGCTAGACCCACCAGAGATCAAATTGCCTCCTCCCTACCTTCAAGTGAGCGTGGGCCCTTTAAATCCATTCCCTTGGTGGCCTTGACCTGCAGCTCAGGCCCTGGGATGTGGGTGGGCGGAGCTGGGTCCTCTGGTCATGGTGCTGGGCTGTGGTAGTGCCTCAGAGCTTCTTTTGGTGTCCCTTCTGGCTATATGTCTGTAGGAGACTCCTCCCTGAGGAGTCCCCTTCTTCCTGGTCAGGAAGATGTTGGTCCTCCTGCCTGTGAGGCCAGTGCTCAGCTGGCAGCAGGGACTGAGCAGTGTCCATTTGTATTGCAGGAGGGTGCTGGCTCAGTGCCTCCCCCGTGGCACCTGCCAGTTGTCTGAGCTAAGGACTTAGATGGGTGTCTGGGGCCCTGGAGTCCCCACCAGGCAGGGTCCAAAGAGAGGCAGGCAGGCTCCTCTGACCCCTGTGTGCCCCCAGGCCAAGGCCAGTGGGAAGAAGCTGCAGAAGGTAACTCTCAAGGTGTCACCCCGGGGGATTATCCTGACCGACCACCTCACCAACCAGCTCATTGAGAATGTGTCCATTTACAGGTAGGCTTGGCATGGGGCGACCACATCCACTCTACCACTTGAGCCGGAGTGTCCTTACAGAATCCAGGCTCTAATGCTTTCTTTACAGAGGCCATGGAGCTTCAGTTTCCATCTGTAAAATGGGGGTGGCAGGGCAGGTCCTGCCTCACTGTGCTGTTAGGTGCTGGGATAATGGTCACTGCTGTCCTCTGAGCAGCTGAAGCAGACTTGAAGGCCCCATGCTTGCCCAGGCCCGGTGACTACTGCTGTCAGGCTTGGAGCACACAGCTGTGAGACCTGCCTGTTCTTCTGCTGTGAGCACCATAGCTCAACCCTGGACGTCTGGCCAGTGGTCCCAGGGAGGCCTCAGGATCTGGAGCCATAGTGGAGATGGTCCCTCCGTCCTGCCTTGGGATCCCCACCTCTCTCCTGGCTACTCAGGTGTAAGAGATCAGAACTAGGGAGGGGCAGCCCACATCCGTGATATATCAGTGGAAAAGCTTGAGACACAGAGAGGAAGTGGCCCAAGACTATACCATGAGGTAGGGGCTGAGCCCTGTCTGGTAGGGTCCCTCTGCTGAGCATCAGCAGGAGCACCAGCCAGGGGTGTGGTGGGCACAGGTCTGCTGGAATGTTCCAGAGTTCCTATCTGCTGCCTTTCTCCTACCTTCCAGATTCTACCTACCTTCCCTTAGCCAATACCTTCCAGTGCCTGCTTGGCCTCTGCCCTCTGGGAGTTACCAGTCTAGAAGGAAATGAAGGGGAGGAAGTACAAGGCGGAGTGTTGCCCAAGAATGTGGGGAGAAATCTGGAAAGGCCTCCTAGCAGTGGTCGCATCTTGTTGGGGCTTGAAGAGTAGCAGGATCTGGCTGATGCTACCAAGAAGCAAAGGGCAGTTAGGAGGTGGCCAGATCCCAGGGATGGAAAGTAGGCACCTGGGGACATGACTGTGCACACCTAGGGGTGATCTGTGGTGTTACTGAAGTGGTAGGATTAAAGCTGGGGCCACGTGGATCAGGGCTGCTGTCCCACTCCTGAGCCACCAGCCTCTCCCCATAACTGCAATTTTCAACATGAGTGGACTAAGTTGGAGGGGTCAGACATCAAGATGGGATGATGAGGGCTCAGGGGAGCTGAGGTTCCAGATGGAGATTAGATGGACAGTGTTCTCTGCAGAGGAAGGTGCTGTGTTTCTCCCAGACCCACTGGTTATCTTCACACATCCCTAGCCCCAGTCCTGGCTCTCCACTCCTGGTTACAGATCCAGGACTTGCTCCTGGTTCTGGTCACATGGGAGGTGAGCCTGAATATCACCTGGGGTCTGACAGGTGGACACTAGGTGAGGGACAGTGGCAGGCAGGACAGTGCTCTACTTCCCTGTCTAGCCAGTTGACACAGACCTTTCAAAGGACAGCAAGATGGATGAGTTCACATCCCAGCTCTGGCAGCAGCTCTGTGTCTCAGACCTGTGGCCTCAGTTTTCTCATCTGAAAGGTGGGCATAGTAGCAGACCCAGCTCCGAGGGTCGGATCTGTAGTGCTCTTGGTGTATCGGCTGGTGTACAGTTAGGTCCAGCTGTTATTGTGGGAGGGTGTAGCTCAGTGTGTCATGGAGGGAGAGGGGGAAGTGATCTCCTTCATTCTTCATCCCTAGCTCCTCCTGCCTGGCCAGTATCCCTCCCCTAGATGGCCTAGAATGCTGGGCCTGCGTGCCAAGGCCAGATCTGCAGTGGCTCTTCCTGGTGGAGAACAGGCAGCAGGGTCAACACATCCAGATGTAGCTAGATGCAATGCCAGGTCTGGTGACTCCCCGCCTGCCTTTCAGGATCTCCTACTGCACAGCAGACAAGATGCATGACAAGGTGTTTGCATACATCGCCCAGAGCCAGCACAGCGAGAGTCTGGAGTGCCACGCCTTCCTCTGCACCAAGCGGAAAATGGTCAGTGGGGCAGGGACTAGGGTTAATCACAGTCACTTTATTTATTATTTTATTTTTTATTTTATTTGGTCTTTTAGAAACAGGGTTTCCCTGTAGCCCCAGCTGGCCTGGAACTCACTATGTTGACCAGGCTGGCCTTGAACTCACAGAGATCCACCTGCCTCTGCCTCCCAAGTGCTGGGACTACAGGCGTGCGCCACCACACCCAGCCACAGTCACTTTAAAAACAGGATGAAATCCCAAGTCATGCTGAGATCAGCACCAAGGATTCCAGGAGGCCTCAGTGGACAGGATGGTCTTTTTGAGACAGGGTCTCCCTGTAGCCGTAGCCAGCTTCACTGTGGAAATCAGGCTGACCTCTCTTTCACAGAGATCGCCACTACTGCTTCCCAAGTGCTAGGATTAAAGGTGTGTGCCACGATGCCCAGTGAAGTTTGTTTTTTTTTTACTTAAAATGAAACAGACCCCCAGACCAGCTGTCTTGCTGACAACAACACAGCTACCCAGGGGCAGAGTGAGGCTCTGAGCCCACATTCCTACTCTCCTGTAAAACTGAGGGGCTGAGAGTTTCCTGTCCCCACCCCTGAACCTCATCTGACTGGTTTGAGTGACAGACACCTTGGTGGTCCCTGGTCATGTGTCATGACTTTGGGGAGAAAGAGCTGGAGCTGTCCTGATGTCACTAATGTTTCATTTCTGAGACCCTGAAGGTCTGGTCATCATCCCCTTGGAGAGGCTTCTGAGTCAGCTGATTTAGCATCTGCATCTGCTGACAGCTCAGAGCCTGGTCCCCAGTAGTTCTCAGAGATGGGGAGTTGAGATCTTCTCCTCTCCCCAATCAAAGGACACATTGGGAACTTTAGTCTTTGGGGCTCCAGGCTTCCTGCTAGGCCATACTTAAACATCAGATGAGTTTCTGAGGGTTGCTGGAACAAGTGACCACAAACTTAGTGACTTAAAAAAAAAACACAGAATCAAGCCGGGCATGGTGGCGCATGCCTGTAGTCCCAGCACTTGGGAGGCAGAGGCAGGCGGATCTCTGTGAGTTCAAGGCCAGCCTGGTCAACATAGTGAGTTCCAGGACAGCCGGGGCTACAGGGAGACCCTGTCTCAAAAAGACCAAAAAA